GTCCTGTCACTGCAGGCCTTTCTAAACAGACTCTCCCCAGCCTTCCTGTAGGCTCCCTTCAGGTACTGGAAGGCTGCTATTAGGTCTCCCTGGAGCCTCCTCTTCTCCAGGCTGAACAACCCCAGCTCCCTCAGCCTGTCCTCGTAGCAGAGGTGCTCCAGCCCTCTGATCATTTTAGTGGCCCACCTCTGGACCCGCTCCATCAGGTCCATGTCTTTCCTATACTGAGGTCTCCAGTAAGTACTATTTTCTGTGAATACCATAGCTTCTGCGATGGAAATGTTTTTCTGGACTGTGTACTTAACAAGTTATTATTTCTCCTGCTCTTACATTCCTATGTAGTATGAAAACCCACAAGTTGTTTTGGGGTAGCAGTGTTACCCAGCAATGCTTCTGAAAACTTAACAGCTAATTAGCTGTCTCTGATATACTAAGGAGAATATGATCAGACAGCGATGTTCTGAATTGAAACAAATATTCTTAATAGAAAACGTCAAATACAACAAGCGTTTTGCATTTTTTTTAAAGAATTTTTTCTTTGTTTATGGAGAGGTGTTTGCATTCCCTGCAAGTGTGAAATGCATTTAACCGACAGCGTGTCTCTTCTCTTTTAGATTACAGAAGTTTGTGGAGCCAAGCGCGTGGGTTATTTTGGTCCCGCTCAGTTTTACATTGCTTTGAAGTTAATTGCGGCAGCGCAGTCAGGGTTCCCGGTACGGATTGAGAGCATTAAGAATGGTAAGTAGCAAATTTTGCTTGCAGCGCTGTGCACTTGTTTTTCACTTTCTGTAATGCTTGTCAGCTCTCTGTGGTGGGAAACTTTTTCTTCTAACGTGTCTGTGAAACAATTGTATTTTGAAGAGCAGAGAAAGAGTATAGAAGGTAACGTTACGTTCTCTAAGTGACTGGTAGGAAATTGCAGTGAATTATGTGTATGGCAAAGCTGAGATGGCATCCCCCTCTGGAAAAGGCATTACCAAAGCAATGGGATGAATGGCAGCTGATCAGCGCTGGGGATGCATTTCTCTCTCACCTTCAGCCTCTGATCCTGACAGCTGTCCAGAGTGGGAGCTGATAGCTGCTTTGGGTGGAGGAGTGGGCTCATTGGGGTGCCCCTTTGCTGGGCAGCTTGCAGCACTCACCTGTTTTGGCAAATAACCCTGCTGAAGTAGATGGGTAATGGTGACAAAATGCTTCCTTATCAGCAGGTATGAAAACCCGTATTAGATGTAATTTAAAAGAGCTTTGTTCTTCTCAATGAATTGACAGTGATATTAAGTGTACCATTTTTGATGGAGAAAAAACGCTTCTTAAAAGAGGTTCATCAAACTCAAGCGATGAAGAGAGAAAGCAGGTCCCTTCTAGCTGCAAAACCTTGATAGCGACTACATGGAAGGAATTTGATGTTCTTGCCTTGCTGATGCATGCTCTGCCTCAGCGGTCTCAGGCTTCAAAATACATGGCTTTTCACTTGGGCTTGAGCCTGAACCAGTTTGAACCCTCAGTTCCCACATCCCAGCTGGGCATCGGAACCGTGCCCCGAGGCCATGCTCTGGGTTGGAGTGCTTGTCACCATCCTGCTGGAGGCAGCAGTGCAACCAGCCAGGAGATGGGAGGGGAGGTGGGAAAGGCAGGACCTACCCATAGCCTCGCAGTTGGGTCACTGCTCCCAGCGCAGTTTCTGCTCCCGCCATCCCTGCTACAGGCAGTGAAATGTAAAATTCACCTATGTGAGGTGGTTCCCAGGTCTGCCCCATCCCAGGTGGAAAAATGCCAGGCTGGAGAGCACATGGAGACCAGCCTGCGTGGGCTGAGCTGCCGTGGTGCAGAGCTCAGGACCAAGTGGAGGGGATTGGATGCAGCTGGCACTAAATTAGAAACCTGGACTTAGGAAGACTTACTGTGTGTGTTTTACAAGTCCAGCATCTGCAAATAATCCATGAATTTGAGTGAAGAAGGGTACTTGCAGTCCTTGCATTGATATCCTGCTTACTCACTGAAATGCTTCTAGTGTTAGTTACATTTTCTCTTGAATTCTGCATGGAACATGCCCCAAACTCCAATTGATTGCTTTTTCTTCCTGCTAGCAGCTGTTAGGTGTAAATGGTTACAGAGGCCGTGTATGGCTTTGCTCGATTTTGAGCGTTCTGTTACTTTTAATTGTATTGATTTTTCAGGGTGACTATGCACAAAAATAAATGGTGTTTCTTTAAAATAATTTTGATTCCTCTTAAAGAGTGACAAAGTGTCACTCTTCTGCTCTGCAGAGCAGACGCGACATGAGACCTCTTGACACGGTCGTCTCACCAGGCCTTGGCGTGATCTCTGAACCCTACCATTTCTAATTTGTTCCTTTTATGATGGCAGCGCTGAGGGTACTGTGATCCTGACTGATTAATTCATCAGTCCCACAGCTTCTGTGGGAAACTCTTCTTTTCATTACAGACAGTGTTCTGAAGGCAGGAAATGAGTTTGCCGCTTGCTTCAATAACGTGCACAAGGCTTATTTCTTTCTCTTTGCATGGAGAGATTATATATTAAGCTAGTGAATGTAGCTTTGTATAGCATTCACATTTTTATTAAGACAAAAAAATCACAGGAGTTCCACACTTAAAAGCGCTACAAAATATAAAGAGTACTCTTTTACAGATAAACTTTTCATTAGTTTTACAAGACGATACTGCATAAAGTACTTTTAATGTTCTATAATCTCAATTGAATTTTTCTCTCTTTTAATGAAGAATTGCCTCTGCCACGGTTTATGGCGCTGAAAAATGACAGTGAAGTACGTTACGGGACTCCAGCAGAACTCCATGGAGCTAAATTTCAGGTTCCACATGCAACTTTGGAAAAAAATTCCTACAAAAGAACAGACGAAGGGGACAAACAGGTAACAGGCCAAAACCATGACACTCCTTCAGGCTAATATGTCATCGCTCCTCCCTTTGGGTCCAGTCCTGTAAATGATTACGCTCATGTGGGCTTACTCAGTTTTGCAGTACTAGACAGGGGATGAACTCCTGACATGCAAATAAGCCCCGTCAGGGCTGTGCTCTGGTTTTTGATGCATCCCAGTTGCATCCCTGAAGAGAATTTCTTTATATGAGCTTGTATAAAGCTGTCAGCCCTGTAATATTCTGTATAATTTCTTTCACTGTTGTCCTCCTACTTAGTCCAGTGCTGTTTCTTGGAGAGAACTAGGGGAGGAGCAGAAAGTAGGAATTGTCTATGAAACAGAACAGGAAAATGAGTGATTTCTCATGGTCAGTATGATCCTTAGTCACTACAGAAATGTTCGGTTGGAGAAGAGGTGTTGAATCATGAGCTGCTATTTCTGGATGAGGATAAGGCCACCGTGTTTTCTCTTCCATTCTGATCTCCCCCAGGAGTAGTCCAGAAGAAATCTGCTTTTCTTTTGTCCTCAGTGGAACATTGTCCCAGCGTCTGTTGTTCCAAGTTGCCAATTCAATAAAGCTGTCTTAAGGGAGATTTGTATTACCTGTGCTTAGAAGAGTTGAGAGTGCTTATTAGGATACAGGCAGCTTCACAGTACAATCATGATTTTCATGATTTTCCCCATGCCTGGCACCTTCTCTTCTGGTGCCGCATCAGGTCATGTTGTAAATGCCTGATGGCAGGTGCTTGATCATCCCGTACTGCTTTTATCACACGGTGTGTTGGCGTGAGTAACGGCGTTCCCAGCTTGAGGTCAACCAGCAGGAATGAGCTGATGACAAGATGGACGAGTGGAATAACAGGATGAGGAAGAAGAGCATTGTATGCCTATCTGCCTGTGTGTACTGACACTGAAGCAGAACGCTGCCCTCAAACCCCTAGCTCCATCTAGGTTATCTGTGTTACGTTATATTTTCCTTTTTACACAGTAAACTGTTTCAGGATCCCATCCTCTTGCTAAACAGTCTGTAAGTTAAGGTAAAGAGAATGCTGTAGGATAGATACCCAGTAACACCTACAAATCCACAGAGCACTTAAAATATCAGCTCAGAGATTTATTTTCATTTTTTATAAGTGTTCTATATGAAAAATGTTCTCCCACAGAGAATGCACTCACCCTAACTAAATGTGTTATGTAAATTCAAAGATACCCACTCACATTAAACCTATACTTCTACTACTTCTTCTTAAATATAAACTTCTTCAGGCATCTTTTGGAAGTTAAATACATTAAGCTGTTCATTGTAAAGCTTTGCTATGGCATTGCCTTGCTTTACCCCTAGAAGGCTCACCACCACATTCTCTCTTTACCAACTTTTGCTTATCAAGGAGCCTTTTCTTACTAAAGAGCCTCAGGGAATGACAACGTTTGGCTTTTTTTTTTTTTTGTCCATTATGCAGTACACATTCAGATTGCCATGCAGGATTACTTGGTTGCTTTGCTGTCGTCTCAGAATTCCATTTTCTATTGGTGTGTTTTTGAAACAGGAACCCAAGTCTCCACCAATGTCTCCAATCTGCTCACCTCCTGCTTCTCCCTCTATGTACCAGAGAATACCTTTAAGTTATGGATATGGTAAATCAAGAAGTGGGCTGGAGCAGCAGCATGGAGGTAGGATAAAAATTCGGATGTGCACATTGTATTCAATTCTTTTTTTTTTTTTCCTCTCAGAAGGTTCCAGATTTCAAATGCAACTGACAATCAGCCTAATGATTTTAACATTTAATTAGATCTGTATTTTGGAAAACAGTTCAATCATCTAATTTTATTTTGGTTGTTCAATCCTGTTCGCTTTCTTGTAAATTAGTTAGATTTACGTGTCACTGCTCACAGATAAATGCTAATACCTAATCTGACAAGACTATGTGCAATACATCCCAGCGACAGAGTGTTTGTGAGTATTTTCAGTTCAGTGTTTTATTTCATTGGAGGGGAAGAAAAGCCTGCTCCTGATTTCAGTAGCTGCTCTATTAGTTTTCGGATTGGCAGTGAACTTTCCTTTGCAGGAAAGGATGATCTCTCTGGTTTCGTAATGGAAGTGACAATAGGACATGAATATATAAACAGTCCCACAATGTAACTTAGGCAAAACAGACAAAAACCAAGACACTACATGGATGCTGTGTCCTTGATCTCACTGCCATTAGAGTAGGTAGCAAAATATTCTGATTTTAGTAAGAGGGCAGTGGGGCAGAAACCAGTTTTACTAAGGCTTTAAAAGTTCCTGCTAATAGTAAGTTGCTCTCCTAATTGCAACATCTGGTGACCAAGATGGTGGCAATAGTAGGCATTGTTGTATATCATCCCTCCTGCTCACAGTTGGTGAGTTTGCAGTGATTGAGGAGTGGAGCAAGTTAGTCCTTTAGCTGTCGTCCTTATTTACAAATGAGTGAAAAAACAGAGCTATTACAACATTTTGAAACTCACTCACGGCCATGATAAGAATGTGTTCAACACTATCAAGTGGCCTTCATGTGGAAGTCACAGCCACTCATTTGCTGGTTAGGTAAACTGCTGTTTGTTCAGAGATGGGATTTTTCCCCAGCCCACCCTTGGCATAACTGATTGAAACAGTGATAGTTGATTTCTGAAATAAGCATCACTGGTGAGGTTGTCTTCTGGTATGATGCATGTTCTGCTCCAGTGGAGAAGACATGTGGCAGATACTCACACCCTGAAGAGCTGGGCTGGAGGTGGCCATGGGGAGCAGCTGACCGTGTTACATGTCACGCACTGTGCTGTTTTCTGGGACAGATCTGTCAGTGCTATGGAGGGCGGGCGGTACTTTGAGTGCTGGGTTTTTTTTTTTCCTTTGAATTTTGTTGCAATTTTAACTTTGGTGAAATTTCTCATGGTGTCAGCAGCTGTGCAGAGTAGAGGCAGTAGCATCCAAACTAGCTGTCGTCTTCTTCTAAGTTTAATTATTCAACCACAAAATTCTAGAGGTGTAGAACACTATGGTTATTTTCTAGAAAGGGAATTTCTCCTATTTTAATCCCACCAGGGGTACTGCAGCCAAATGTGTTCTTGGTGGCCATAAGCGGGTATCATTTTATGGTCCACGCTGTACCAAGTGCCAGGCTTGGTGACCTATTGGTTCTTCCTGGCCTTTAAGATTAGGACCCTTCCCATTTTCGGAAGAGCACTCAGAAGAGCGGGTCTGAAAGCCACCACGTGAGTGTAGGTGGTGCAGGAGGTGCCACCACCACAACATTGAGCTGGGTGGGCAGTTCTGTACCGACCCTGAGGCTGGACAGCACGTCTTCAAGTTCAGCCCTCTACACTGCAACCGTGACTATATGCTCTTTTTGATAGTTTTGGAAGTTTTTCTTGCTAGCAAACACACAGCAGTGTGGCCTTGTGCCTAAATCTTTTTTCCAAGGGCATCTGTACCTTTTCCAACTTCCTTCCTTTGTTTTTATTCCTGAAGTTAGAAGTTACGTACACAGGCATAAAAATAGGTACCAATACAGGATAAAACCACTCAGGAAAGCGAGGCAGTTAGGGGTATAATTTTTAAGGTCTTCCTGAACTGAAAATTTTTAAGATTTCTTGGTCTCACTTTTCATCAAGAGCTTTTCAAGTTCTGTCTTAAGACAGAGGTCTGTTAAAACTGTCTTTGTAGCTGTACATCTTGAATAGCCTGGCAGCAGAAGTTCTGGCTCTGTAAGGGTTTGCAAGTGAGTTGCCTGTCTGTTTGCATACATGACCTATTTTTAAAACATTGTTCTTAAACACGCTGTTGTGTCACCACTTACTATATTTGCTGCAGTGGAACATAAGTGACTTATTTAACAAAAGAACAAGTAATTGTTACTTTTCTTTACTGACTTTACTCCAAATAATGCAAAGTGGTGAGTCACGTATTTTGATTTTCAACAGAAATTATGGAAGGGGAAAAAAAAGTATAGGAAAAAATTAGTGATTTACTGTTTGATAGCATTGTCAAAGCATACTTTTTTGCAGTTCAGTTGAATTATTTCATCTTATTTGTAATGCATTCTGTTGCTATCCATGACTCTAAGTATATAAAGCATGTAAATGTGTACACATGCTATATAAATATGTATTTCAACATGATGAACAATGATTTCTGTTATCTAGTAATACATAACTGACAGTTTCTATCAGTAATGTCTGAAGAAGAATGATGTAATGTGAAAGACAAGTATGTGGCTGGAATTTTGTTGCAGAGGGCAAAATGGACTTTAATACTAGGTTCACAAGCTAGATTCTTGACCTTGTGGTATTTCCTTTAGCCAAGTAGAATCTTTTTGATTATTCTTGCATTTATATACTTTATTTTAATTGTCTGTAGCTCCTTATGAAGTCAGACACTCTACTCACCAGCAAGATGGACCATCATCAGGGAATTATGGAGCCAAACCTGCACTCAGCTCTTCCACTCTTAATCGGGTAATGAATTGCATGTTTTTAGTTAGTAGTACTACTAACAAAACAATACAGAAATTTAAAAAAAAAAGGCAGAAGAACTCTCACTTCAAAAGTAAAAAGTGTTCTCCATGGTGTTTGTAGACTAGAGGCTGAAGCATGCTTTTTTTAATATATGAAAAAGAAAAAAACAGAGGTGATGGGAAGGAGAAATAAAAATAAACAATCCAATTAAATTGCTGAAGCTAGATAGAATGAGAAGCACCAAATAGCATAGACAGAAAACTAGACTGAGACTCTTCCGTTCAAAAGTTTAAAAAAAAAAAAAAGGTTATCCTAGCAAAAGTAAAAGATTTTCATTTAAAATACATGAGGTTTTGTAGAGATTCCTGCTTTATTTAGAATGCCATCTGTAACACATGCACAGAATTTATGGCCTAATATTCTGTATATTCCGTTTTTTCACCCCAGTTGGTTAAATCGCATCTCAAACAGAATAAATGAATTTCTGGACATTTTTTAGCTTTTATGAGATGAGTCCTATGTTTTCCTGCTGGCTACAAAAGCAGATCTTTCCGATGTTCCAGTATGCCTGCCGTGCACTTATTATGCAAACAGGTAGTTTGCCCTAAGGAAGGACAAAGTTCTCCTAAGGGGGAGAAGTCCTACTTCCTAAGTAAGTAGGACTTGGAGACTCTGCACCTTTTCCCTGGTGCTTAGCACCACACACCTGTAATAGAATGTCTCTCAAGCCTCAGGAAAAGATCTACGGGTAGTGTCACACAATTTGTGTTCACTTGAAATGAAATTGGGTGCATTTGTGCAGCACTTTGAAATGAAAATTAATTTACAGCTTTATGATGTTGCCTGTTTTGGGGAACTTTTGATGTATTTCAGAACAGGTGTTTTGTGTTTGATTCTTGGGAAATGGACAGGTATGTCAGTGAAAGGGTTGTGGAGCTACTTGAAGGCTGGTTATTGTTCATTCTTGCCCTCCCTCTTTAAGGATGTTGTCACCCAGGCCTAAAGCATCTGAAATACTATGTCATTCCAGTTTAATGAAGATACTAATTGTCCCAGCAGCCCTCTTCTAAACACCACCACCCACCTACCAAACATACAGACCTCCCTTAAACAAGTCAATCAGAAAGCAGAGACATACATGAATAAAATGTCGTTCTTCTCCAAAATTTTTTCCTGAGTGAGAATTTTTACCAAAACTGTGAGAAGTGACAAAAGATCAGGGAGGTCTTTAGGACTTTGAGCAACTCCCTGGATCATTGTAATGTGTGCCGAGTTACCTACGTGAGCTGAGGGTCTAGAAGCAGCATAACTCCATAATTACAGCACCGCTTCTAGACTAAAAACGTAGTTTCTTAGAAAAGTGAAATTTTCATGTGCTGTGCTGCGTGGAAGTGCAGCTTTAGGTCCTTTACTGGTTCCATCCGTTTCGGTTATACGGTGTGCGGTGCAGCGTTGTAATGCATGGCAGCCAAAATGAACCCCCAAAATGAATCCAGGGGTGATAAGATATGACTTGGACTTTTCCTATTTGTGGTCAGCAGTAGTAAGACTTCCTTTCTCTTTTAGCTTCGGTCATATAAAACTTCCTTTAATTGCCTGGCTAAAGATCCCTAATATTAGCTCCAGCTTTAGCGGGTAAGTAGTGGGATGGAAATGAGTGTGGCCGTTTCTGCTTCTCGTCTTTTTAAAGTACGTGTCCGCTAATAGGAGAGAGTGAATCTGGTTTCTTGAGGTTGCCAGTGTCCCACTTGGCCCTTCTGGCCCCCTGCCTGCAGTCGGTGCCAGTCTCCCTCCCTTCAGTCTCTTTCAGTGGAGCGGGAGCAGCCGGAGAGCAGTGCCCACTACTCGGATGACCCTTGGAGGATAACGGAGGAGCAGCGAGACTACTACATCAACCAGTTCAGGTCCCTGCAGCCCGACCTGAACTCCTTCATTTCAGGTAATTTTTACCAAGCACCACCCATGTCAAGTAGAGGGCACAGACTGCAAGGCGTGAAGCGCTAAGTAGATAAATTAGTTCTCTTTTTTTCCTCTCTGCAGTGAGTTTATGAGAAACAGTTGATTGCAGTTTCTTTTCAAGGGCAGACAACTCAAAGTTAACAAACCTATACTGTGGGCATTATGTTTTCCCCTAAATCTCCTGATGTTAGGAAAATAATTGCATCTAAGAGAGGCGTGTTGTGATTTAGTTAAAAATTAAAATGCGCTCTCCCTCTGAGGGACTGTGTTTGTGGATCCCACCTGCAGTGCATATTGAGCTGAAAAAACCCTTAGGGTTGCACTTGCTTTCCCAGCAGAAATGTGGCAGCATCCACGTGATGGAAGTGAAGCATGCAGTTTCCTGTCCTGTGCGGTCAAGCTTGAGTGTTTATGGCTCTGAGGGACTGAGATTTTGATCTTTAGGTGATTAAAAGCAAATCCTGGAGAGCACACCCATGGAAGAAAGTGTTGCTAATGGTGTACTGAGATTGCATTGCCATCCTGACTAGGATGGTCATGCTGCTTATTGGAGGAGTCACTGTGGTACAGACACTTGGCCTGGCAAGGAAGGTGTCACAGGTTTTGAAGTGAGATATTTTTACTGAGCCCTGCTGTATTACTGGGGTTCAGGGGGCTTGGATCCACCCAGAAGTTTAAATAAATTGCCTGCTGCTGACAAAAATTAGTGCTTCACCAGTTCTTTGCCTCAGTTAAGTTTTCTTCATATGATTTGCTTGAAAGAGAAAATGATTGTTGAACAGCAATACTGTATTTCCTCACAGACAGATATATATATATCTGTAACTGTATATGTATGCATGCATGCATATACAGCATCTCGGGTAGCCCTGTATTTTCCTTTATGTTGAGCAAGATTCTCAAGCATTCCTTGCACATCCAAAACTACCGTTTATAAATGATAAATGTGAGCTTCCACAGCATTCTGAAATAATTAAATGGTAGAAAGTCCTTGCACATGAGCTTCCACAGCATTCTGAAATAATTAAATGGTAGAAATCCTAGCTGCAGGGTGATAGAGAAGCTAGAGGTTTGTCCAGGTTTAAGAATTTATTTGAGAAATCCGCGACTGAAAATAATGTCAGAAGTTATTGAATATTTAAGTGCTATCCTTGGTTGAGAAGATTCCTGAATCTGAGGTGGTCAGAGGTTGGTGGATATTTTGGAGCTACGTTAATATCACATGGCTTTGTCATGGTCACACAGAATTACAGAATGACAGAATGATATGAGGTTGGAAGGGACCTCTGGAGATCATCTAGTCCAAGCCCCCTGCAGGTCCACCTAGAGCAGGTTGCACAGGAATGTGTCCAGGTGGGTTTTGAATGTCTCCAGAGACAGAGACTCCACCACCTCTCTGGGCAGCCTGTTCCAGTGCTCTGCCACCCTCAAAGGAAAGAAGTTCCTCCTCATGTTTAGATGGAACTTCCTATGTTCAAGTTTGTGCCTGTTACCTCTTGTCCTCATAGTCCTCCCTTGGCATCCTGTGTGGGGGAGGACATGTGCTGCCCCAGGAACAGCTTGTCTTATGGCCTAAGGGGAGGACATGTGCTGCCCTGGGTGAGTCTTGGACCTGCCCCAGGAACAGCTTGTCTTATGGCCTATAGTGGGTGATGTGACCTGAATGCGTGAGGGGAAGAGTGATGTAGCCCTTGGAAGTCTCTGCATTTACGTTGCCTTGCATTTCCTAAGCCTATATCCAAGAAGAGCTTCAGGGTACAGCGATCTTGTGCTGCCTTTACAGTCTGTGTGCATGGGACGGCGAAATAATGGATTTATTAGTTAGGAGAAGAATATACAGGGATCTTGTGCTGCCTCTACAGTCTGTGTGCATGGCAAAATAATGGATTTATTAGTTAGGAGAAGAATGAGAAGGGGTGAGTGAGGATGCCTGCAGCAGGACAGTAGCTACATGTTATCTGAATCTCCTGGGTTTTTTCCTTTTTTTTATAATATTCAAAACTCAGGGAAAAGTCATGGTTGAAGCAGCGTCTTGGGAGAGCAGTGCAGATGCTGCAGCACTGTCCTGCCACACGCAGGGCTTTTGGGTGAAGCAGAGACATTTGTGTCTGTTATTTCATCATTGGTGACATACTGATTATGCTGGTTAGAATCAGTAGTACTGAAGTGTGTTTTCCATTTATTTATTTTTCCCATATGGGGGGAGTGGGGAAATGAGGTCAACAGCTCTGTCTGGCTTTCTCTCTCGCTCATTCACCAAGAGACAAATGGTCCAACAGCTATATTAACGTCCAGTTAATCTGAGCATCTCTTGGATGTAAAGTAACCAGCTGCTTCTGGTGTAACTAGCTGCTTCTGGCATGGCAGCCCTGGCCAAAGGTAAATAATTGGAGAATTAATTTCCAAAGGCTGATAAGCTACGGTTTCCCACCAGGTTCTGTGGCAAAGAATTTCTTCACAAAATCAAAGCTGCCCATCCCAGAGCTTTCTCACATCTGGTAAGTACTGTAATAGTGTTGGGGATGTGTATCCTGTGTTTTTTTAAAAGACGCTTAATTCAAGAGTTCTTGTTAAATTTTGAAAAGTGTCTTCAATTATAATTATTGCTCTTATCTCCAGAATCACTTTCAGGCCCAAGCAGCAGGGTGCTCATTGATCTTCCTGACACGCTTGTTTTCTGTAGAGATGTTCGCCTACTCAGCAGGACTGGGAGGGTTTGAACAGCGATAAAAACTGAGAGCTGTTCTTAAGTATATTGTAAGCAGCATCATTAGCTCAATGAACTGACATTTTTCATGAAACGACACGGAGGAGAAGCACCTCTGGAATGTTTTAGATGTGTTGTTGGTTTTGTTTCCGGCTGTGTTTTGCTAGAGGAGGCCTAATTAATGCCTAATTTTTAGTAAGTACAACTACATAATTCATCAGTGTTTTTCTAATGAACCAGCACACTTACTTTTAATGAGCTTATTTAGAAACGGTGGCGGATGGAGCTGTACATGATAGAATTTGACAAGGATTCTATTATATTTTCATAAACAACATGGTGCTTTGTAATTCAGTGTCATCCTCGCATCTCAGATAGGAAGAACAAACAGTTTTAAACGTTGATCAGAAATGCTGATAGAGGTTTTACTTTTATATATGCTTTTATGAAGAGAGATGAGAAGAAAAGCTTGCAAGAGCCTAAACATCTGTCAGGGTCAAAGAATATGTCTGGAATCTTTTCAAAGCGGATTGTCAGTTGTGAAAATAAAAAAACAACTGAAGAAACATGGTTTTGGGGGAAGTGAATATTGGAATTTAAGTGTAAGATTAAAAGACTGGATTAACCCAGTATGTTAACAAAACACATTTTATTTCTGTTGCTGACACAAGTAGTTCTCTATGTGAAATTTAAAAAAAGTTATTCCTTTCTAGTAGACAATTATAGTTTTGTCATTATGTGATTTATCAGGTTGTGTTGCTGTGTAAAACACATGGGATGTTTCAGTCTTTGTCACTGTAACCTCAACAGCTTGAAAAATGCTCCTTACTTTAAAAGAGTAGGAAGTTATATGTTTATTTGTTTTAGTCCATGTGCTCATGATAAAGTATTACTCAGCTTTTGCAAAGAGGGAATTTATAAAATTAAATTCTTGAATTGCTGAAGTCCAGTTTTAGTGTTTGAAAATATTGTAGAATTAGAACTGCTTTAGTGAGAAGTTAATAACATTTAAACTTATCAAGAGCATTAATTTAGTTCTTTTCTTGAGACAGGTCAATAGTACTGAGTAACCACTGCTGAATTCCATTTTTAACTTTTTTCTACTTGAGCTGGTTTAAGATCCTGCATGGATTGGCCAAAGCACTTTCAACCCTTGGGAAATTAATTTCACCCTTGGAAGTACAGGATATGTATTTCGTGTTTTAATATACGGACCATCATATTGTATGGTACCATGTAACAAAAATGTACCTCATTAAAAAAGAAAAAATGACAAGTCAGTATGAGAAAATTAGCTTGCTGCTTCTTCTTCCCCCAGACAAATGTACAAGTTAGGATCAATGCAAATGACAGAGATGCTTGACTTGTGTTAAAGTATCCCTCCTCAGAGGTGCATTTCTGTCTCCCTGTGATTGCACACGTGTGTTCCCCTGGGGTAATTGCTTGGGAGACACGTGCCTGTGGTACCCTGCAGGGAGCTGAGCGACGTGGATTGCGACGGGGCGCTGACGCTCCCGGAGTTTTGTGCCGCTTTCCACCTGGTGGTTGCCAGGAAGAATGGTTACCAGCTGCCGGAGAAGCTACCGGAGACGCTGCTGCCCGAGTACCTTCAAGCAGGTAATGATGTCCCGTTGGCAGGACCGAGTTCCTGTAGCCATCTCGGGATCCCAGCCTGCGGGTAGGGCGGGTTTGGCTTCCCATCCGTGAGGTGGGACACGGTGTTCTATGCTGGTAGCTTTTTAACATGTACGTTTTTAATTGGGCTTGCGAGGCGATTGCTGAAGAAGGAATGTGTAAAAGCACAAAACAGCAATGCCAAGCCGAGAGGTCACCTGCCCCTCTGCTCCAGTGTGCCTCAGGTGGCATTCCGGCTAAAGTGGCAGGTGATTGTAGCAAAGATAATCTAACTAGATTTATATGGCCCTTAACTCTTATGATGATTTTTCCCTCTTGAAGATGTGACGCAAACGACACTGGACTGGTTTAGAACTTAACTATGCTAATATATTTTGTTAGATGCGGTTGCTGGTTGTATCAAAGGTTGAATTTTTTGGTGATTCATTTTATGTAATCCACAGATTCTTCTATAAGTAATTTGCAGTAACGACAGGAGGATCACAACAGTTTGTGTAGCACAAGGGTAAATTAATCCAAGATATAACATACCCCAGTAACAACGTGCAGTGAGCGACCTGCCCTTTCATTTGTTATCTTCGGTTATATCTCTTTTAATGATAAACAAACATTGAAATATATACTGTTCCATCTAAAAAATGTGCATGACTTTCTAGGGCAAGGAGGATTAATCACAGATGATAATTACAGTGCTCAGGGATAATATTTTAGACCTAATAAAATCTCCATTAAATTCGATGACACTGAATATATTAAAAGACAGGAAAAGAGCAAATCAAGCTGTAGTTAGGAAAATTAAATGTTCACCCTGTATCAGATTTGTCAAGTAATTTCTGGTGGAGTCATGTTTCTTATAATCCACTATCTTCATATCCAAGGGGAGAAGCTCCTGTAAAAACTTGCACTTCCAAGTCTTCATCACTTCTAGTCTCTCTAATTACATTCTCTTGTCATAATTAAAAGTACCCTTTTCCCTTCAGGACCAGCACTTTGTTCACTACTCTCATGCCTGTTCTCGTCATAAATTAGCTTGTAAGCACCTCCATGCAGGTTCTTGTTGGCCTATCTTCACAGCAAGCCTTTTTGGGTACTGTAATGGAACTAGCTATTTCTAGTAGTAAGGAATCATAACGTCAACGGGAAGAAGAGCATGGTAAGCTGTGATCGTTCCTTGGGAGTCCTCTTTCTCCCTAATTTGTCCCTTTCAGCTCTGGGGTCTTCACCATTTTCTTAGATTATTATAGTTTCCTGAGTTGCACACAACCAAGCATTTTAAGCTGAAGTACATGGAAGAGGTGAAAGGACTAATTGTTTGTTGTGGACACTATACCTACCCCAGCTAATATGCTAATTCTGGTTAACTTGAGGGTCTGAAAATGTCTTGCACTTGTTTTGCTGACTAGTCAGGATTCAGAAATCTGTCTTTTCAAAGACTTGCATGAATAAAAAGCAGAACATCTCAACACACTGTAGTACCAGAACATTCTGAAATGACAACACTGATAAACAAGTGCCTCATACACTTACCTAAAATGACAAAAAAAATTTGCGAGAGAAAGTTTTTATTTTCATGTTTTTGTAATTTGATTTCTGTGAAACTTAGATAATTTTTTTTTCATTACTATTATTTTGGGCTATTAGGAACCATATGAAGATTATGGAAACTCATTTTCATTAGGTTGTTGTATTAGTTTCAGAATGAGGCAGAATTTGGTTAAAGTGAAATATTTGTGTCTGATAAGAGTGTTAAAGCTTCAAATAAAGTGGCTGGGAGAGGAAGACAAATTAATCCTGCTAGTTTTATGGCTTGTTCTATAAACTACAAGTGCAGGGCCAAATACTATCTTGGCACAGCTCCAGTGACAATTCGACCCTCCACCTTCTTTGCTGAAAGTTTCTATTAAATTTACAGAATGCATAAAAGACCTGTATGTAACCCACTCTACTGTAAATTAAGACAGATTTGCAAGACCTTAATTTATTCAGATACACTGGATGCCAGCCAGAAAATAGAAATTTGGCCTGAGAACTGGTTATTCTGCCTTTCAATACATTGATCTTAAAGAAGAACTGTTTTCCAGCCGTTAGGACAGATTTATCTCAGGGGAACTAATCCCAGAGTGATATCAGCTGAAGGACCTCAGATTCCAGAATAGAAATTAGGTTCTTGTGAATATTGCTCTGAGAAGTTAGAGTTGATTTTTTTTCCCTTTTTTTCCCCCCCTTGCTCTCAATGCTATTTAGTTAATGAATATCAAAGATAGTACTGCAGCAACTACTGTATTTGATGTCTTTGCTTTTTGCTGGCCTTCAATTTTAGTGTATGATGTAGATTCTGATGTACTTTTCAGTATTCAAAATGTTAAAAATTAGAGTTGAAAGTTTGATAAGTACCTCTAACATTCCTAAGCCAGCAAGGTATAAGCTATAAGGCCAACCAATTTGATAATAGACTGTGAGGAGGAAAAACGCAAACAAATGGTTGTTGTTTGGCAGTTAATATTCAATAAGAATCACCTCTCCCAAATTTCACAGTTATTTCTACAACAGAAATTATACATGCTGTCCCTTTCATGACATTGAATTAATCAAAATGGAAAGACTTTCTTCATGGTTTGGTTGTGGTTTTTTTTGTCATTTGTGGCTTACAGATCATTTCTGATATGTAGAAACGGAGGGCAAAACGATGCTGGGACAGGTTTTTAAGAAGTGTGTATTAACCAAAGACTCAGCATGTATCTTCTCTTCCCCCTGCAGCTTCTCTGAAGCCCATCCGTGACTGCACGCTATTTGATTCCTATTCTGAGCCGTTGCCAGGGGGTCAGCAGGCTCGGGACTTCGGTCGGACGGAGGTAAGGAGGCGTATGTAGGGTAGTTCCCTTGCCAAGTGTAGAGGAAGAGCCCAGCTCCACAGTGGCAGTGGTATGCGAAGCAGAAGGACTTGCGAGTCTTTGAGAGGACTTCAGGAGTCTCTGAGTTGACCATCAAGCCATCTCTACCCCTTCTTCTCAGCAATTTTTTCAGCGTGTGGAAAGGGTGGACAGGCTTTTCAAAAGGTATTCCCGCGAAGTGGGAGTTCACTGTAGGCATGGAGGCATGATGTTGGAGTCTAGGTAGAGAAATACACCTCACCTGGGCTGCATTTGCCCATCCTGTGCTGGGAGCCAGGAATGGAGGGGCAGAGGCCACGCTGCAGGAGGAGCACAAGGACAGTGCTCAGGTGAAATATCTCCTGAATCTGAACGGGCCAAAAATGTCAGGCTTCACTTGCAGCCCTTGTTCTAGGGAGTCCTAACCATCTGGCTTGAGTGTGTCTTCCATTTACAAGAGATCCATTTCCACACTCCACTCCCAGTTTTGATGATGAGAAATGTCTTGGCTTGTTCTAATTCCTTGTACTTTGCTTCTTTGGAGACTGAAGCACTCCCAGACTTGGTACAGTATGGTCATGCATACTTCTGCTGTAGGTCATTCAGTCTTCATTTTAATATCCAGCCCTTACGTAGTCTAAGGACCTACCATCTAAGGGTCTAGATAGTGATTGTAAGGAGTCGGGAAGAGTGTTTGGAGGGAAGAACGGAGATCCCTTGTAGTGATATCACGACAGATACCAGCCTTGTGATGAAAGACTGTTGCAAGCAAAACTAAATTAAGGAGAAGAGTTTATCACTGAGGTTAAAGAATGAAACTGTAAAAGATTCTTTAAAGCTGAACTGAACTAACCAGTGGTCAGTGATTTGTGCCTGGATATTGCAACTCTGAGTTTACATGCTGTGGGATTTAAGGGTTTAGTATTTAAGGTAGTGAGTCAAGTGGCAGACTGAACTGCAAGACTGAGCCCTTCTGACGCTGCTTCCAAGTTAAAAAGCAATGTTATGTCATGCCAGGTCAGCAAGGCTGTGCTCCAGTTATTTCCTGCCTGTGCCTTGCTCTGGGGAGGTCCTGGTTCAGACCCCAGCTGTTCCCTCCTCAAACAGCACCACCAAGCAGACTCTCCTAAGCTGCTGCAGAGCACAGTGTTCACCTTGGGGCAGTGCTGCAGCCAACGCTTTGACCATCCAGAGCATCTTCTAGAGCTGTTAAAATAGATGCAGTCTCCCCAGTGCTTGCCCTGGGAGGTGGGGCTCTTTGTACAGCAGCTTGGCCAAAGCACAGCAGCCATACAGGGTGGTGAAAGCAGCCCTGGTGTTGTGGTCCATGGGCTGCTGGTGTGGTGGTGTCACAGGCAGGTCCTTCACCGTGCACTGCAGCCTGGTCCCTTGCATATCGCCTTATTTTGGGGGGGTGGTTCCCAGGGGGCTGTGAGATTGTGCCACGGGGCCACGCTGTGCTAGCATGTCTGCACTCTGCAGTCATGTGGCAAAGCTCCACAGCCCCTTGAGAGTGTGCCTCGTTAGCATACATGCATATTGCTTTGCAATTTAAACAAGCATAAGAGGCAAAATTCAAGGCGGTGTGTGTTGAAAACTCATTCGCTGATGCCAGCGTGGGTATGTACGTATATGCATAACTCCATTTCCAGACTGCAGTAAGAGTCAACTGATTATTTGAGTTAACTCACTGCCATCAGTTTAAGATACTCGTTTTTAGAGATAATTATTTGTATTCTGCTTAAAAACTGTTACATCCCTGCTGGGATGAATTTTTGTCAGCAGGCAAGACCCTTGAGTGTCAGCTTTTCTCTTTCACTTGCATTTTCATGTTCATATACAAATACACATGCATATATAAAGCAAAATAGAGATATAATATAAAATTAAATTGTATTAAAATATAAATAAATACATGATTATGTAGCTTTCATGCATATAACTGGAAAGCTTCAGTTTATGTAACTTCTTGACTTCAGGACCTACTCTGTGGCCTAGGGAGCCCTTGTTTTTGTTAGGATACAGGCTTTGTGAGTGATTACCCAGATATGAAAGTGGTCTTTGGTTATTTTGTAGAGTTGTGAGGAAGTTTGCTCTTTAGTAGCACAGGTTTTTGACTGTGAGAATACAATGTTCTTTATATTTCAGAAAGCTCAGAAGTCTTGCTTTCAGAGTCATATTGTGTTTCTTAGAAATAAAATGTTGTTTCAGTAACCTAACCAATACAGTTTTATAATCTTATTAAATGTTTGAGTTTTAGGCCCTTCTTGTTTGTGGTCCATGAATGTATGTGCATAGTAAGGACAAATGTAGGAGGAGATTATTTCCTAAGCAATTATATTGTGGTTTTTTGCTTTTTAGATTTTTCTGCTGCATTGGAGATAATAGTAGTAGGAGTATTATAGTAATAATTAAATAAGTGTAAAATGTAGAGGGTATACAGCACAAAATGTAAAAAAAAACCCCAAACAAAAAAAGCGACAAGTCCACCATTTTGTTTTAAATTTTTAATTTGATTTTCAGCAGTTAAGCTTTCAGACCTCTTCTGCCTTATCTCTGCGCTCTCCTCCTTGAGACATTCTTACCATAACTGCCAATAACTTGCAGATTACTGTGCTGCCTTTGTAGTCACATAATGTTCTTGGGGGAACAGCTGGATCTTCTGCTCCATTCTTAGGTTCTTGCAAGGTGGCAGGATGTTCTGCAAAATCAGGGCTTTTTTATGGCTAGGTTGAAAACGAAGAAGAATCTGTAGCATGGATGCCCGCTGGCTAAGCACAGATAGTGTTACCTGACTATGTCACCATTGTTTGACTGGTTTTGCTCTATTTCTTCACTGTCTGGGTCCTAGACATGCAGGGCAAAGCTCTCAATTAGTTTCTTTCAGGGCCCTGTTATTCTGGTCCTGTGTTATCCAAGATTAATGGACTAGAAATTCTCTTCTTAAAACTGATTTGAGAATGATTTTGACTCGACTTTTTTTTTTTTGCTCAACTGATGTTTTTATGTTCAGAATTAATACATTGAATGAGTATCGTTTGGAAGGTCAGTAATTCATCTCCCATTCATGTCCCTCTGTGGGAAATGCAGTAATTCACTGTTGCAATTTAATTTGTAGCTTGGCTACTTGAGGAAATATAGTTTAGATACTTGATCACTACATTAAAAATGTTATATTATCAGTGCAATCAGTTATGCATTATCTCCATGTCTTTATCTCTTTCCACCAATCATCCATTCAGGCTGCTTAATTTAATTTCAGAAGACCATTTTTACTGTGACTGCTGAATTACAGTACTGCAATACGATGGAAACTGGTCTTGAATGCATCCATAAAGAAAATAATGGCAGGAGACAGATCACCTGAATGCTAGGCTTTGCTAAACTTACAAAATACACAGAGACTGCTAATGTTATGCTCGAGAATGACAAGGGTGACTGAGGAGGTTTTGTCTTCCTGTATCTTTTCTTGAGCTTTTTTCTCCCACTCTGGTCTTTTTTTTTTTTTTTTTTTTTTTTAATTTTTCCCCCCGAAAGGAACGTGAATTAATCACAGGGCAGGATGTAAGCGGGTTTTTAAAGCAAAAGGCAGAGCCACATGGGTCCCTGGAGTTGCCCGAGCCAAAAATAACATTTTAAGGGTTAAAATAGCAGTATTGTGGCCAGGTGAAATAAAAAGGACTGTTATGCTTGTAGAGTTTTGGTTTTTTTTCCCCCCCTTGTTTTTTTTTTTTTTTTTTTTTTTTTTAAATTTCAGCTCCTCTGGCTCTTTTCCACAAGCTTCCACTGCCAAAAGCTTAAAGATAAGACACAAGATTTCGCACTATGTACATAAAATGACTGGCTGGGGCTCCTCTAAACTCCCTCAGAAGTGTCATGCTGGCAGTTCATTGAAATTCGTGAGAGTCATTCCATAGATTCAAGCGTGCACTGAATTAGGCCTTTAGTCTGATGATCTCTAGAGTGTCAGGGCTAGCAAGGGATGTGAAGTGTTTTGTTTAAACAATTTCAGAGTCCTCAAGCTGTATTTTTGCTATGTTACTTCCCCAGAAGCGCTAGGGAATCCCATATGCAACTTTATAAAATAGATCTCATTGCCCTTTACTCTGGGCTTGGCCTTCTTGAGTTACTGACTTGAGATTTTGGATGCTCTTTTTTCTAATCTCTGCAAAATCCATGTTTCTGCATTTTAATTTTTTTTTTTTTAGAGCCAGTGGATTGTAACGTCTTCTATGCTCATTGGAAAAAAACAGCATCACCTAATATTTAGGGAAGCTTGGGGTTTCTGACATTTGCTTTATTGTTGTTTTGGCTGTAGAGTAGAATTTTTTCCTCGTTCCTTTTTGTGAGCTACACAGCAGAAGTTACAGGAATGAGACATGCCTGTATTAAAAGTTGCTGCTGAAATATAGAGAAGCTAAGGAATATGACTGGGGAGCAGCTCCCCATTTCCCATCAGAGGCCTGAATGGGTCTCCAGCAGACCCATGCTGACGAAATTTGTTTTTCCCATCTCAGTGACTGCCTGTTGAAAGAAACATGAGGAGGAACTTCTTTCCTTTGAGGGTGACTGAGCACTGGAGTAGGCTGCCCAAAGAGGTGGTGGAGTCTCTGTCTCTGGAGACATTCAGAACTCACCTGGACACGTTCCTGTGCAACCTCCTTTAGGTGGACCTGCTTTGGCAGGGGGGGTGGACTAGATGATCTCTAGAGGTCCCTTCCAACCCCATATCATCCTGTGATACTGTGAAAAAGAGTAGTCCAAGGATCACCCACCTCAGCTGGAAGACTTCAGGTGCAGAACTACTGGGCTCTGCAGTATGGCTTGAGTCTTGGCTAGAGAGGCTGTTCTGATGGGGACTGACTCCTGTGAAAGGTGTGGAGAAGGTCTCCTCAACCCTCACACAGGTGTTACACCCAAAAAGAAAAGAAAACAGAATGACATTGCTCTGTTGCAAGGAGTCTCTCCTTACGTACAGTCCTTAGTTCCTTGTGAATCACTACTGAAGCTCTTCTCAAACCGATTTCAGGATTGTGGAACTGCTGTACTTTGAAAAGCACAGTTACAGTCATCTTTTTGAAGGTCCTCTATGCTTCTTTATTTTGCAAAGCAAATCGTGGTGCAAGAGAGAATATTGCCTTTATTTGTGTTGGTCTGCGTTCTTAGGTATGGCTGTGGAAATGTGGGTGTTGTGCCAATCAGTATAATAAATACGTCTTCTTTCTTTAAGAAGGCATCAGCTGAAGAGGTACCTGATAACACTGCCCTGTTACAAGATGCAAAGAAAGAAGACAAACAAGGTATTCAAATAAATCACTCCTCCCCATCGCCTCCTACCTCCCCCCCACCCTCCCCTTATGGGTTAAGTTCTGTGTGTTATTAGTAATTCCATATTTTTGCTGACAGAAGCAATGGTATTTCTAATTTCTAAGCTGGCTATGTGTTGCTGTGGATTTAAAAGGAAGACATTGCTTTTGTTGAAGCTGAGGTGACAACAAATATTGGATGTGTTCGCTTTAGATTTAGTTCTATGATATGTCAATGGTATAAAGTGCACCTTCTAAAATAAGTCTAGTCCTAAAACAATTAATTAAAGCTTCTTGTTTTAACAAAGTTGAAATTGTTTTTGTCAGGAATTTTGTAAGAGTAAAGACTAGATCGTGCCAAATGTTGGATTTCTCTTTTTTGTAGGAAATAGCAACACCTCAAAATATGTTTTTATTCCTATTTAAAAAAAAAAAAAAGTACCAATATTTTCTTGCAAAACAAAAGTTTTGGACAAACTGGATTGAAAATACTGAATTCATTTATTTCACTTGAAATCTGTCAGCAGCAAGCTGTGTGAAATTGAAGTGATGTTTTTCTTTTTCCATTCAGCAGCTACTAGGGCTTCCAGAATGAGTGCTGGACCATCACACAGTCATATGCCCTTTATATGCCTGTTATATGCCCTTTCCTCGACCTTTCAGGTTCTTGCTTGCTGTCCCTCAGCTGTGGAAACAAAACAGTTGTGGGTATTTTGTTGCCTTATTTTCAGAGCTGAGAATACGCATTTATTAAGAAAAAAAAAAGGTAGATCTTGACCTCACAAGCTGCCCACATGCTGAGGTTGCATCAGAGCTATGAGTCGAAGTAGTCCACATTCCTGAATCCCCTTCCACACTCAGGTTTGACTGAGTTTGGCAGATTCCCAGCATTCCTGGTTCAAAAATAGGTTGTCAGATTTGATGGGTGTTTGTAAAACATTTTGACAAGTCAGTGTAATCCAAGAAATTCATGTTTTGTTGACAAGGTTTGTTTTGTTGTAAAATTCATAATGGGCAGGAGCAGGACTTGAACCTTGAAGGTTATTGCTTTCATATGTCTGGGGCAGATTTACTTCTTACTTGGGGAATCGTTTTTTCTTCCCTGTGTAGGTGCAAAACTTGTGCTTTGCTCTTTGTAGCTGAAATGTTATATCAGATGGGAAGCTGCTTTGGTACATGCAGTCCTTCAGGGCTGAAGATTTGCTATATTTATGACACAGATTCCTACCTTTTCAGCCAAAGAACAAATGCTCTTGTTCTACCATTTATTGTTATTCTGACAGATGAGACAGCAGATTGCTCTCCTGACTGAGGACATCTCCCCAGAAGTCAAGAACCTGTAGTTCAGGACTGTAGAAGCAAATTTGCCTGCATTTTTCAAAACTATACAAATAAATTGGCTCCACTCTGTCAGGTTACAATATAGTTAAATGTGGAAGATAATGTAAATATAGCTGGATCACTAGAATCAGACTTTTCCCCCCTGTTTTATTTGATAAAGGCAGATGGAGATGAAAAACCTCATTCCAAGTGGTCATTTGTAATACTGTGGCTTACAGTACATTAAAAAAGGCCACAATGCATTAAGAATGCCTTAAGAAACTCATTAATAAAGGATGCGTTGGCATCAGTGGAAGAGGGGAATCGAACACAAAGGTTGAGATTTCCTAAATTTTAACCCTGACGGTGTCAGTGCCGTATGATGCTCCCTGGGGGAGGCTGGGGAGGGTGCAGTGGTCAGAAGCAGCCAGTCTCTCAGACATCCTGGCTTTCCAGGTTTGTATCTTGGGGGGAGATGAGTCCCAGCTCTGCCAGGTGTAGGAGAGAACGCTCCGTCTCTTGAGACAGGAGCCTGTGGATTTAGACACTAACACCACACACATCCTCCCCTTCTCAAAATTTGGGATTATTTGATGTTTTGGGCACAGGCCTTTCTGTTCTTGACTCTTGTCCTCTTAAAAATTGTTACTTTTTGTGTGTTCTTGGGTGTACTGAGGGTATTTGGCTATTTCTGTTTTCTTTTTGAGTATGTTTAGCATTATTAGACGTTCTAACTAATACCAGTTTAGATGCTTCTGTCTCAGAGCTGATACTTGTAGATTTTACCTGCTTATCCTTAAAGTAACTTTCACTGATTTTTGTTTGTTTGTTTATTTTATTCAGCTCTTAAAGGAAGCACTGCTCTCAAAACAATACCAAAGGAATTTCAGCACTTGACTGTGAAAACAGGTAAGAAGAAAAAAATTGGTGTCTTACTTCCATTAGAATTTTTCTCAAATATTTTTTGTATCACAGTAAGCCTAAATTATTGTAATTTGATTATTTTTTTTTAAGATTCTCTTGCTTTCATACTGTTTTATTGCTAAAACTAGCTTTTACCTATAATGACTATTATTTGCAAGATTAATCTTAATTAGTACTTCAGGTTGTCAAAAGGTTTTTCTTGCTTTCTTTCCCTTGCTCTTAGCAGATGTGCATTCTCCATGTGTGGGAAATGTTTTTAATCTAGCATTTTATAAGGAGTCTGAATTTTGTTTTTTTTGTACTACAAACAAGATGTCAGAGCACGAATATTGTACCTCTTGATAAAAGCTCTTCTCAAGTATTAAATAAGTATTCAGTAACTATTCTGAAATGGCCTGTTCCTTTGTGAAAACTGAGTTTTTATACTTTCTGTCAAGGAGCTTAAGGGTCAATAGCCTTTTGGAAACACAGACCTTGTGGCACTTAACAGCACTGAAGTAACCTTTTGATTTGAGGGGCGTTTCTTTGATGAAACCACCCCTGATTTTTCTCTCTGCAGCTCCAACATAAACTCCTTGTTCCTATCATACTGGAAAATGTTATTTCTGGAACAGTGTGTCTCAAAATTGCATAAATGCTCCAGAAACTTCCCATGCGTTCAGTTCAGTTCATCAGACCTCCCTTGCCTTCCTCTCTGTTGATCTCCTTCCTAGAGTGGTAGGAGTGTTTGCAAGCCCTCCCTGGTCCCAATCAAGCTCGAATCTGGACTTGCTTTCATTTCCTTTTGCATAAATGTTTTTACTCATGAAGATATCCTTGATTAAGAAAACTGACCCCACATGTCTGTCACAGCAGTTTTGTCTTATAGCTCGATTTATTCATGGCTGCTCAACAGCTGCATGCCTCATTTCCCAACTCTTTTTTTTTCCTGGCTTCTTCCCAAACACTTGGCAGCTGCCAGATTTCCTATCTTCAGCTCCTATTCTCAAATGATTGCTGCTTCTCCTTCTCACACACACACACACTCTTACACTTCCCTCTCCAGGGAAGAGGAGGGTGGTTGTGAGTTTTTCAGTTCTGTTCTCTTCCCCAACACTGCGCCCCAGGCAGTTTTATTTTCATTTCAGCACTTCAGTCTTTGGTATGGTTAGGAAAAAAAAAACCCAACTGTTGTCACCTGTGCATCTCCTGTGCCACTGTCCTCTTTCCCCCATGTCCTTCATCTCCAAGTCAGGGAGGTCTTCTGGGTGCTGCTGTCCTCCTCTAGCAGTGTGGCTGAGTTTGTACACCAGGGGGGACAATGGCAGAATTTTACCCCATTGTCGTGGCTCCTGTTACTGCAGGGGTTTCACCCTCTCTGCCCTGCCCATTGAGGGCTTGAGCAGCACATTCTCAGGTTGCAGGATACGACTGATGTTAGAATATAAAAACGTTTATCTGTGCGGTGGGCTAGATACAGCCCAGTAATCGAGTGGTTATTTCGGAATTGGTCATCATTCTTGAAAGGTCATTATAATCATTAACCTTCAGGATGAAAACTCCGTTGGGATGAAGCAGGAGGAATTTTACATCCTTCTTCGGTTAGCCATTTGGGCTATTTATGGAAATTCAGGAAAGATGATCCTGCCATGGTTCATTATGGGAAAGTTTTCTTTGCCATCAGGAGGACTAGAAATTTGAAGTCAGTAAAAACTTTATATGCTCAGCATCTCCAAATATCTGGCCAGTTTATTTAGGCTCCTAAGTGCGAGATCATTGTTGGCCTTACCTTGAGTGCTGTGTCCAGTTTTGGGCCCCTTACCACAAAAAAGACATTGATGTGCTGGAGCGAGTCCAGAGAAGGGCAACAAAGCTGGTCAGGGGTCTGGAGAATAAGTCTTATGAGGAGCAGCTGAGGGTACTGGGGTTGTTCAGTCTAGAGAAGAGGAGGCTGAGGGGAGACCTTATTGCTCTTTACAACTACCTGAAAGGAGGGTGTAGAGAGGCAGTGGTCGGTCTCTTCTCCCAAGTCACAGGTGATAGGACAAGAGAAAACGGCCTCAAGTTGCGCCAGGGGAGGTTCAGGTTGGATATTAGGAAAAATTTCTTCACTGAAAGGGTTATCAAGCATTGGAATGGGCTGCCCAAGGAAGTGGTTGAGGCACCATCCCTGGAGATATTCAAAAGAGGAATTGACAAGGTGCTTGGGGATATGGTTTAGTGTTGTTTGGTGGTGTGTAGGTGTGGTGGTGTGGTTTTTTGTCTGTTTGTTTTTTTACGGTTGGACTAGATGATCTTAAAGGTCCCTTCCAACCTAGACGATTCTATGATTCTGTGATTTAAAGGATTAAGGGCCAAATCTGTGAGCATTTAAATTGTTCATTTCTGCCTGGGCCGCCAGCAAGAGGTAATAGAGGAGTCAGTGTGAGTGATTTAAATTGTTGGGGAGTTCTTTGGTTTTTCCTTAGCAGTGTAGCGTACTTGCACCTTTTATGGTTCAGTTTTCCACCTGATAATCAGCCTGTAAAGCAAAGAGGTACCAGCTGAATATAAGCCATCAGGCTACAGCCAAAAGTTACTCAGCCTGCATCGTTAGAAATGTTTACATGAAGTTGTATTGGCAGAGGGGAATGGAGGCAGTTAAACACCCAAAATGGGAACCTTCACACTCTCCTGTGATGTGAATGAATAAATAAGAGTTCATCATCGTATATGATTTTGATTAGTGCAGACCAAGCTGTTCAGTTCATCAGGTTGTACTTCTCCAGGGATTGTACAAACTTTTAAATAATAAATGTAATTAATTTACTGAACAGCTTTAATTTTATATCAGCTTCATATAAGTTAGGCTTACGTATCCACAGCAAGAGAAATAGGGATAGTTCATTAACTGGATAGTTTTCTGTCATCTTGAATGATTATGTGGTGTGTGTGTATAAACCTGCACCTCAAACACGAGGTACAGACAGACTGAGTGTACCAAAATAAGTGCACAATTTATGTGCACGTTATGTGGAAATCCTGTCACAATTATCTGTATGTTGTAATAACAAACTACCTGCTTTATAATATTTTTATATTACACTTTTTTGAAAGGTAAAGCTATGTCTGGGTATTGTGTAATTGTAGCCTTGAATTTCTTGATTTTTCAAAAGCTTAAAAGAAAATTCTAGGTATTAGTATTCTATTGTTATCATTTTTTATCAGTAGTCATTTCGGGATTCTCTCTTCCTTGTGTGCTTTCCTGTTTACCTCAACAAGATGTCCTCGGAGAGTTTGAGTGACAGTTTTGCCTGTCTTTTTTTAGAAGAAAGACTTTATATAAAAGGTATGAACAGAATTATGGTCTCCATAAAAGAAGGAAAATTTGAAGGTTCTTAAACATGGCTTAACTTAGAAAGGATTTATACTTCCCATTTCTAAGTGGCATGTATTTAATAATTGTGCATGTAATTTAATAATCGGCAATTTCAGCATTGGAAAAATTGGGTCATATGGCTGTGGGGAAGCAGTTTCTAAAGTTATATTCTCTGGGAGTTTGACACAGAGAGAGAGAGGAGGATTATCACCACTGCATATTTTAATAATAATTCTCTCTCTCCCCCTTAGTTGCTAGGAGGAGTTTGTTGCACAGAAATCTGGAATGACTGTGAGCAAGTTTGGTGGTGACAATAATCTACTGGAGCTTGGTTTATAAGTGGTGTTTTGTGTTGCTGCCAGCTACATTTGGGTTTATTCCATCCAAAGCACCAACTAGCACTGCATGACCTTTAAAGCAGTTTCCTCTATGAAGAAATCGTGTGTGGCTATACGTGTGCCATATGCTGCTGTTTGTCTTCTGTAAGCCTCCAGCCTCCTATGGAGGGTATAGGCAGTAGTACAATGCAAGCCATTATACAGTCAGTGTTTGCCAGCTGCTACCACAGGTAGCTGTGGCTTGGTGTGTTTTGGAGGTCTGCCCTATTCTCAGGTAGGTGCTGTAGAGTAGCTGGTGGTAAATGTCTGACTTCGGAGTAGGCAAATATATCTAGAGGAAGCTAGAAACTCCAAGAACTGTTTTTTCTTTTTCCCCAACCTACTTGCTTCTCTCGAGTGTTGTACCTTGATCAGCAAAATAATGGGAAAAGTGGGAGGATTCCCTTTGTGTGTGCACTGGGATCATTGATGCCGGTGCAGTACCTTGAGGATGTCTCAGTGGGCTGAATTTGAAAGCAGTCACACAGATACGCTTTCTGAAAATTATCTGATGTTAGTAAGGAAAGTAACAGAAAAGTCACAAAGAGACTATGTAAACCAAGGAACAGCCTTGAGGAATTACCCAGAGAAGGTAAGTCAGCACTGTTCTTTTCCTATCACATAAAACCTGCATGTGGCAGGATATTTGGAATTCATCCAAATAAAAGAAACTGACTTTTACATTGACAGAAATGTGTTTGATCAACACTTAGCCTTTAAAGCTTTTTACCGTCTAATACCTTTCCTTCCCAGCATCAAAGTAGTTTCAACCTGATGTGTTAATTTTTTTTTTAAATGTGGTAGTAAGAAAATGTATGTTTATACTGATTAGTTCAAGTATTTAGGAAGGACATAAACCTTCATGCTTTGGGAAGCCGGGCAATGAATGAATTAGGATTAAGATGCTTTCTGTGGAAAGTTCATGGTATTCCTTATGTTGCTTTGTCACAGCTACATCCAGGAGCACAGGTCAGAGCTGTCAGACCTATTGCTTTTCCTGTGTTCTGGTAACCAAATAAAAAGGTGATGGTCTGGCTACTTGTGGGCTTCTGAATTCTTAGGACATTCAAACAGTACAAAAACAAAAGGGAAGAAGAAGCGAAAATCAGTCCCCATTGCTCATGTGAGATGAGCACACTCTCACATCCACATTTGCAGCAATCACATTTTCAATGAACACTGGTCCTTCAGCTAAATGTGTTTATTTAAAATGTGGTGGTTTGGTGAATCTTTTTTCTTTTCTGTTTCAGCTGCTCAGGAATCTAATGCACTTAAAGCCAGACCACGATCCAGGTACTGCTTTCATTTCTATTTCAGAAGTTCCTCTGGTGTTAGACGCAAGGTGCAAGAACCCCTGTTGCATTTCTGATTTTTTTTTTTTAATTGGTATTGTGCTGGAAGTCCAGCTCAGATAAAAGACAGATTCACTAGGAGAGATCTCTAAGCTATAGACCCTACAAAAGTACTGCCTACAGCCCTGCGGTCTCCGGTCGTAAGGCACTGGGACTTTTTGCCTTTCTGTCCAGCCCTGCAGCCTCATCGGGGTGGTGACTTCCTCCAGCCCTGCCCCAGAGGTGTTGTGGTGGGACAGCAGGGACCACCCCGCTTGCAGGAGAACATTCTCAGAGATTTTGTGCTGTTGAAACCTGCACAGGGGTTGCATATGGAGGGAGACGCTGCACGCTCCTGCAGAAACAGCAATTGTAGCTCAGCTCTCGGGTGTGGGTGAGTGAATCCTTTCCTTGGTGTGCCTGTACTTAACTATAGCTGGTTGGTGTGTGATGGAAGGACTTACAGACTTACGTCATTGTGTGCTAGAAGTGACACCTGCTGAATTTGGTTGTTTGAAAAAAAAAAAAGGGAAACCCATGCCAGAAAATATAGACTATAAATGGATTTCATGTTGAGTTTGGCTGTTCACCATTCTGGTGTATAGCCATCTCGTGTATTCACCTTCAAACTTTTTTTTTTTGGGTGCTAGTTAGAGGGCTTCATTCCTTTTTCTTAGGTAATGAGAGTATAATCAGAAGGTCCCTCCTTACAAACTTGTCAAAGCCTGGTAATGAGAGAGGATCGGCTATAAGCTTGATGAATGAAGACTGAAATCCTCTGTTCTTAGGACCTACGTCCAGGAAGGCTGAACTGGCTTGTGTGCTGTTTTTCTGCTGCTAGCCAAAGCTTTTTAGTTTTAATACTGTTTTAAATTTTCTTGCTGTAGTGCTGAATCATAAATCGCTAATATGCAAAAGATGTGTGAAAAGTATTTTATGCAAAAATGCATAAAATAGCAAATGCTTAAACAAGTTTGAAAAAAGTCTCTGGAATAGGACTACTCTGTCACGTCTGACCGTCTCACATCTGGCTGTGTGTTGCTGCTTTAGTGCAGAACTTGAGACTAAAGATTCCTGAGCACATCCTTGAACTCGGTCCCTCTGCTGTGCTTGTCCTGCATAGCCTTGAGGGCTCTATAACCTTGAGAGTCTCTGTCTTCAGGTGGGACTGACCACCAGAGCCTGCATTTCGAGTCCATTACAGCTCTCAGCTCTGGAGCCTGGCTTTCTAGCCTAAGGTGTGCAGATTCTGAGGACATTCACATGATGACTCCTACCTGACATTTAGGTGCCAGGTCTCCCTGCTGCATCGCAGGGCTCTGTGTTGCTACTGCTGGGGCAGGCATATTTCTGCCTGGTAGCTGCTATCTTACTCGATCTTTTAAAAAAAAGTTCAAAATCTCAAACTGTTAGGTTGAGCAATTTCAATGCAAGAAAAATATACGCCGCATAACATGGAAAGTGAAATTATAAAACCTTAAGATCCTGGTTCAAAGCTTTCCCATTTATTTCAGGGTTGTTGCGTTAGGTCGGCTATGGTAAGGTTATGGAATTGAAAACTCTACCCAGTCAAAAAAATCAGCATCAACAGAGGTTTTAGTGTCCCATGTAAATTTTGAAGCAATTGTGGCTTTCACTCCTGTATTTATTTTAGTTTACATCAGAAACATAGGATCAGCATTGCCAAATGTCTGTCCTGCCAAAGAGCTGTTTTCTAACAACAGCCTGTTTGGCAAAAAAACGACCCGTTTCCCATTAGTGGGAGATATTTCTGTTCTACTCGAATGTGTTTTTGGTCTTGCCTGTCATGCGTAATGTGTTACAGTAAGTGTAACATCTCACATTGTCAGTGCTCATTTTGAACAAAGCTCTCGGTCTCGCAGAAAAACTGGTAACTACAACAGCTGAAAAATATTGGACACTATTCAACAAAATCAAATTTTTGAGCAAATGCCCTGCATTGGGATTTATGGGTTGTGGACGGGCCCAGAAAGATGTACTGAGACATGTATTTGACCACTGTTGGTCACTTTGGAGCCATTCAGTTTTTCTGGATTTTGTGAAATTTGGTGACAGTTTACTATGAAAAAAGTTAGAATATTTTAAATTACTAAACGTGTACTTGCAAGAGGTAGGTTGAAGCTGTGCCTGTATAGACACTACCCTCGCAGTTGGGAAAGCAACAGGAACTGTAAGGGGATTTTTTACTTGGGTTTATTCAAAATAGTTGCTTCATTTATCCTGTTGACTGTTAAAGTTATGAAAGAAGGCCTGAAGCTGTGATAAAAGCCTTAAAAAATGTTAGCACGACCTGTTCCTTTCCCCCGGTGTGTTAAGTCCCTCTGTTGCCAAATAAATTTGTTTTGTTATAAGGGGGAACTTTTAGTCATTAGGGCAAGGAATTTCCACCATGAACCCCAGTTCTGGTCAATGTATTTTCAGGTACTATTCACTGTAGTTGTTTAAAATGAATTTCTGAAATATTTCCTCCGTTCTCCCCCCGTCTTCTTCCTTAGGTCTTACTCTAGCACATCGATAGAAGATGCTATGAAAAAGGGAGAAGAGCCCCCTACGCCACCTCCAAGGCCACAGAAATCACATTCCAGAGCTTCCTCTTTGGATCTGAACAAAATATTTCAGCAAAACACACAAGGTGAAGTTTGCTTTCTTTCCCTCTTTTGAGACCATTTAGGTTGGCTGCATACTTGGCAACTTGATCTGTTTGCACAAATGCTTGACAGTATGTGTGTACGCTCGCCTTTGCTATAGACAGCAATACACTACAGAACAGAAGAACTTGCACTTTCTTGCATTACTTCGGCACTGAGGGGAAAATATCACTATTGCTGTAATTAAGGTGATTATAATGTTTTCTGGCATGATAATGGGAAGCTTAACATATGGTAGTCTGTCATCACTGACTGTTTATAACTTAGGCAGTTCTCATCAGTGACTGCAATATATTTGGTTTTTATTACTATTTATTTTTTTGTAGTTCAGAAGCAGGAAGAAAAGCCTTAATGTTTAAACTGGGAGAAAGTAAAATTTCTCGTGTGCAAACATTTTTGATGTTAAAGTCTTCCATATGCGTGGGGGCAATTAGAAACCATTCTTTGAGTAAAGAGAAAGGGTAATTTCATTCGACAGGGGTGCATGTGGAGGGGGAGAGAAAGAAAACGTAGAACAGTGGCTAAAGTGAACGGAAAGAAAACGGCTCTCCAGCGCCGTAGTGTTTGAGCATTCCTTTTGCCTGGCAGAGTGAGAGGTGGAAAGCAGAGCTGTTTGCTCAGGGCAGCGGTCACCCAGCATCGCTGTGCTTCAGCAGCGTCCTTGAACCAGAGCAGAGCACACCAATCATCCCACTCAAGGACTAGGTTAAACATGGTCATGTTTATGCTTCACGAGAAAGCCAAGGTTTGACTGTGTCAAGGAATGTTTTAACTGGGCTCTCTCATGTGGCTGTTGGAGTAGAAAAGAAAGAGTTTCACCTCTTGCTGTATGGGACTTTGGTTTGGGGTTTTTTGTGCGAACACCAGACAGAATTCAAGAGTTCTGCTATGTGTGCTGAACCCTGAAACTCATGAGGAATAAACGTATTTTTTTTAGTGCCTTACACAGAGAAGCCATTCCTGATCTTTGACTGTGGTTCCTGTTTAGGGATCTGTTGCCTCAAATTTTGATTTCATTATACATCAAAATAAACCCCCAAACAGAGCCAAGTACACATTTTCTAAGACAGCAAATCCTCTCAGAATCCAGATAAAAAAGTATTACTGGAAGGAAATAAACTTGGATTTAAGTTTCTCTTGGAACACAAATGAAAGGAGAATGTAAATTCTCAAAGAAGTCATTCTGTGAATGAAAAATAACATCTTGCTTTTGGAATGGATCATTTTGAAAGTCACCATTACTTTTGAAGTAACATAATGATTTCTTCTGGGCAACTTAACAAACTGATAGCTACAGCAAATACAGGAAAGGATAACTTGCCCTATCAATACTTTTCAGAGGGTTTCCTCACTGGAAATGGGGCAACTAAGTAAGGTGAGACAGTTGATTGCTTGCAAAAAAAGAGAGTGCTTTGGACATCCTAAAACTGTTCATCATATTCAGTTCAAATTTATGGCTATTAATAGTTGGAAGGAAAATTGGCTCTAGGTTGACAAAACCTGAAGTATAGTGTGCTACCAGATTGCAGAAATGTGGAAGGTCGCCCAGAGGCTCAGCTTCTTCCTGTACTTGCAGGGTGTTGGATTGTAAGTTTTTGTTGTCTTGAATGTCCCTTGGTGGCAATGCTAAATATTTGTGGTGGTCATCTTTCTCCAATGGAGCTGTTCTATTTTCTGTCAAAAATGTAAATACTCACTGTGAAAGAATAAGGAGGATTTTGTAGTCTTGGAGGATTTAAGGAAGAATGTGTAAACAATTTGTAGCCCAGCCCACCTTGAAGATGGCTTCCAGTTCAAATAAATCTGCATCATCAGATGGAAGGGATTAAATCAACCCATCCCAGTGCACCCAAATACCATGGTGCATTTACCTTGCTCTGTTTCGAAGTAAAATGTCTGCATTGGAAGTCGTATTTTCAATTCTTCGCCCCATGAAGAGACACATGCATGCTCTTTCCTATCATTAAGCCCTGAATAGTCATCATTCTGCAACATCCTATTGATAATGTGGTTTTATACAGCTGCTTTCTTTGTTTCCACGTCTCTTGTTTTGATCACCTCACTTTTTTTCATCCTTTTCCCTACGGGTTGGTAGAAACTTCAGTCTCATCATTTTTGGATACCCCTTTTCGTCTAGAGACAGTTCTTCGTCAGGGAGAGGTCGTTGTTTCAGAGCCAAACTCTTCACTGAGGTGCACTTTGCTCTTTTTAGAAAGGTGGTTTGTAGGAGAGCAGAGAGGATTGAGCACCCTCGCCTTAAGCCAAAGAGCCTCTCTGAAAAGGAAGTCTGTGTGTGTGTGTGTGTTTGTGTGAAGTAAATTGCACACAGTTGTATAATAACAAGCTGTATTCCTATTTCTGCTGACAGTCTAAAAATGCAGTTAGAATAGTTTCCATCTGCCATCAGAAGATACAGTTACAGATTTACAATACAGATGACGTAGTGGCAATGGGCTATTTAGGTTTCTTGGCTATTGGGATAATACAGCCTGGCATAAATATTGAACCCGATATGTTTCTATCCACAAGTTACTTGATTGCTTTCTGACCTAATGTACTCTCGACTGAATTTTTATTTTACGTTTTCTCCCTGCCTTCCTTCCTTCCTAGGTTTTCAAAAATAGTCTCATCATTGTAGCTGAGCCACAAAAATTAGCTGGAATAACCATCCCTTCTCACACCACTGGATTTACCTAGTGTCAGTAGAGAAAATCAGGCTCTAAAATTGGCAATTTTAATAGCTTTCAGGGTGTATTTTATTTCATTAGAATAATCCCATTTTAGCACATTAGTTTTTGTCCTACTAGTTCTTCAGAAATAAACCTGGTTTTGTGAGTTTGGTGGATAATCTGCTCCCACACCAGCAAAGGGGTGCTCAATAGTATTGAGTTCTGTTTTCAGTTCTTCGTTGGTCATGTTGATCCATAGGTATCACTTCTTTAATTGTAAAGCCATCAGTGGTTTGGAGCATTTTTTTTTTGGTTTGTTTTTTAAAGTGCAGAAAAAGACAAATCTCTTTTATTTATGTAAATTCAGCCAAAGGCTTGTTGTGGACACTGGTTTGTTGGGGGCTGTGCTTGTGTGTTTTTCATTTACTGCTGCTATATTATGTTTGCCACTCATCTTATGATGCCCCTCTCCTGGTAAGTACACACGGATGACGTTTATCCCTGTTGACTAGGAAGTCCAGCCATGCACTAACCATGGAAACTGTGCTTTAAAGTTGTTGAATTGGGACATGACTGCACTTGAAGGAGGCACCTTCATTCATACTCCATAGCTTCACTCCTCTGGGACACTGTGATTGGGATTACCCAGGAAAAACATACAAACCTAAGAGAACTTATTGAAAGGCCCCACCTTCTTCAGATCTACCATAATTAAGGAACTGCTCTAGACAGGCATTTTAATAATATAATATACACAAGAGGATTATAGCTCTATTTATATCTTTCTGTGTGTATATGTAGATGTATTTTTAAAAAAAAACAACACCACCACCTTTTATTTTTGTTCATTGAGGCCATGATTTGAGATGACTCTAGTTTTGGGGGGCACCGGAGATGTGGCAAGCTATAGGGATGTATTTTGTCGTGTACTGACCTATTTTTCTCAGCTGTGACCCCAAGAATATGTCATGGTTGGGGAAACATGTATGGTGGCCTTAATTATTGCTAAGCAAACCTCAGGAAGTTCAACTTTGGAGTTATTAAATAGCGGCATCAGTGAAGCATCATGCCTGTTGCCGGAACTGTTTTTCTTCTAAAACTGTCATAGATGCCCCTGGTTTTTGCTTAGCTTTGAAGGATGCGTGTTTTCTCAAGCCTTGCACAAACAAGATGCTAGAGTGAAAGTTTCATTGCTTTGATGCAGAGTATTTTCAAAACCTCACTAATCCCAGAAGAGTTTTCCCCACAATATCAGTATACAGGGCTGCTAGTGAATTTAACTAAAAAAAAAGATTGCATACCAGGTCAATCTGTGAGTCCATATGTGAATTTCTGTTAAGAGATGTTAAGAGACAGAAATATCTTTTTTTTTTTTTCTTTTAAATCATGTAGTTTTTGTGTTGGCATCTGAGAAAAATTTAGTACTGCTAGATTCTCAGTTTATTTCTTTTTGTTGAATATATAATCTCTGGCATTTGGCCTGTGTACATATTAAGAAAATACTTGGCTGGGTTTTATGCATTCCTGGAAAGACAACAGCAGGTCTTAAATACAAACAAAAATGTCAGTTTAAATGCATACATGACCTGGTTTACGTCTTCATTTCTTCTCTAGCCCACTGTCTAGCCAGAGACAAGACAAGAGCTCCCAGATTAAGATCTGGGAGCAGGTGGTCGGCAGAGCTTTCCTGTGCTGTTCACAAAGACCATTTCCAGAATTAGCTGTTCTTTTGGACTCCTCGTGCTCTCTTCTGTCTGTCCCATGATCTGGGCAAGAGAACAGGTATTGAGGAGGCCAAAGTTGCTGCAGCTTGGAGCCCAGTGGTCCTGCAGCAAGACCCCCAGACACCTTTTACCCTCGACGGCAGCAGTAGGCAAGGGTCCACCTTGGGATAACTCTGGGAATGGGGCAAGTTTCAGCTTAAGTATTAAAATCCAAAAATGCACCCACTGTCTTCTGGCCTTTTGCTTGGTTATGTTTTCTGCCTCTGACAACTAATAAAGAATTTACTTCTGGGGAATTATAGGTAATGACAGCAGTCTGGGTCTTGTTAGACTGATACAGATGCCTCTGAAATACATTTTCCATTTAGTTTCTTTTCTGAATTGCATAACTTCTTTTAATTAAAAGTTCTGAAGAACAAAGGATACTTGTTTGGAAAAGAGAATTTGCTTTGATGAAACAACATAATTGTCATAAACAGTGTAGTTTCATGCTGATGTGGAAGAAAGATTGAATGTCTCTATGTAATTCATCAAAACAGCCATATAACTATTTACAATTGAATTTTTGACTGAAGGTTTTCAGCACTCGTT